CCCTTTAAGACTGTCAGCTCCTGGTCTAATGCCATCTTTGCAAAGAAGTCAGCCTGAATAACACTGAGTGAGAGTAACTCAAACTCCTTCCAACCATCCTCCAGCTCTCCCGCTCTCTTTTTCACAGCATTTCAGCCAGACGGGCAAAAGCTGACGAATGATGGGACCCAAGCATGCCAAAAAGCCTTAGCTCAATCTCGCTCCCTGCATGAAGACAATGCAACAGACGAGCAGCCAGCAGGCCAGCTTTGCTGCAAACTGTCAACACAACAATAGGGCAGAGCGCACTGCTCCAGCAGTCTGCCCAGGAACATTACGTGAGAGCAGGCTTTCTGTCTGGACACCTGGGGAGTGTGGCTGAGTGGACTGCAGGACTCACTGCGTCTGTGTGTGTGTCTGCACGTTTGTGCTGAAACATCACAAATTAGACTGTGATGCAAGTTTTGATTCAATCACAAAAGCCACTGTGTCAACAGTGTTATCCAACTGAACATCTGAAAGGAGGAGGGCAAATCAAACACTCGCAAACAAAATCACATCAAACTGAACTCCGTGTAAGATGGACTTTTTAAAATAGAGTTTAAGCTACAGTCACAAAAACAGATTTCCTTTAGACTTCTTCATATGGGCTTATAAACAAACAACATTATACGAAAGATAAGTTTATTTTATTTTCTATCGCAGTGCGTATATCTAGATATTTGTGCCACGGAGTATTTAGTCTTCGCTATCGGAGGCCTGCAGGTTATTCCTCACCTTTCCTAGTTGTGTTTAAGGTAACCAAACAACTCTGAAAACTAGCTGAAATACTGCCAACCTCTCCACACTCTCAACCAACAAGTGGGGCATCACAAAACACCATCGCCAGCAACAAATACTCTTGTTTTTGTTGTTGTTATTATTGTAATCATTTGATGCTCGTTATCATCTCAATGTCTTTGGGAATCCAGTAGCTGGCTGAGCAAGCGGCAAACAGTTAGCTTACACAGCGGCGTAGTAACGTAAAAATTCCCATCACCTTATTGGCCAAGTTTCCAACACTTTAATAATTAACATAACCTAACGTCGAGGGTAACCTAAAAATCTTCTACAGACTTGAATACTTCATATAGATTATTAATGAGTAGTCACACATAGCAAACAGGTCGGTTAGTAGCTACCAAGGTTGCTAGCTGAATAGCACAACTTACCTGCATAATAACATGACAGCACTTGCTAGCAAGCTACGATTTTTAAAAAAGACCCCGAGCGTTGTATTTTGGCAGCTGGCTTACCTCAATGGTTTTAACTGAAGCAGACAACCTTCTTAACCAACAGGCTGTCGATGACAAGTGTCTCCTCGCTGAATTTCGCTCCAACCAGATCAGTCTGTCTGGTCAAATGCAGGTGACACGAGTTAACTATCCGTGTCCACGTAGCTAAGCTAGCTCACTCGCAGGCTAACGTCGTCATTAGCCAGCAGCTACTTTCTATTTATCAACCTTGTCTTAGTGGTGGCAGCCAACGGGAATGGCGTGCTTGTCAGCTCTCTGGACACAGTCTAGCTGACCGTAGGCCTTGTTAGGATTATCAACAGCCGCTCGACCACTATCTATTTAGAAGTGACACGAGCTTTTACGGTATGTTCTCGGGGATACCAAAATAATCAGTGTCAAAACGGCGAGATGAGGAAGGCCATCTTGTTGACAAGCAGCTGCATAAGACCCGCAGCCAATAGCGGTGCAGAGTCGGTGGTGTGCCCATATATGGCGTATGCACAGCTCCCTCCCTCTGCCGCCCCCTGCACCCCCGCTCCATCCACGCTCTCTACACTGGACCACACTGTAAAAACGCAACATCAAAAGGTCACTGTGTCAAAGACAG